ACACACACACACGCACGCACACCAAGATTCAAGGCCTGGTGGTACAGGCATGTAATCTGAGCTACTTAAGAATCTGAGGCAGGAAAATCACTAATTCAAAGTCTGCCTGAACTACAGAGCAAGTTCAAGACTACCCAGGGCAACTTAGTAAGATCCTGTCTCAAAGCAGGGGAGGGTATGGGAAGGGCTAAAGATACAAGTCAGTGTAGAAAGCTTGCCTAGATATGCAAAGCCCTTGGTTCATTCACCAGTATGGTGGTGGAGGTGGTGGGAAGAGGAGAAATCTAAGTTCCTTATAAGACTATGTTTTGTATTTCCATGCTTCAATAAACATGGATTAAAATGCATTGACTTCTTTTTAAAGTACTGAATGCAGTAATTAACAAGATGTTAGGGGTAGAACGCTTAGTCTTTGTATCTGAAACCATAGTATGTCTGTCTATAAAAGGAAATCTGTTAGTTTGATATTTTCAAAGAAAGTCAACTACCTAACTTTAAGGGGTGCTCATTCCTGACATTCTACCAGCCTCACTTTTCTCCTACCTTTGGTCTTTGTACAACTACCTCGGAGGAAGCAAAGTTCATTTTCAAAAGCTTGTTATCTACTATTCATTCTAGCATCCTCCACACTTGTCTTTTCTCCCCTTCTTGGCTTTCTTCTGCCTCATCGTGATAATGGTGTACACGTCTCTGAATAAGAAATCCCAGAGTTTCTATTGTTAAAGAGGGAAGGAAGCAAATTCACAATTCCTATAGTTCCTTTGATCAGAGCTCTTCAGTAGAAAACAGGACCTCAGCCTGATGAGTAGTAGGAAGAGGATGACAAAACAGATCCCATTTGCATGGTATTTTCATTCTACTATAAATAACCTAGAGATGATTTAGAGTATGTGGAAGGATATGCATGTGTTATATGGAAATGCTGACCTCAGTCAGAATGGTAATCATCAAGAAAACAAATACTGATGAGGATATGAGGGGACAAGAACCTTTAGACACTTATTGAGCATGTAAAGTGGTCCAGTTACCATGGAAAATAGTATAGATGTTTCAGAAAACAAAAAATAAAGCTGCTCTGTGATCTGTCTCACTGTGCCACTCGTTAGCATATACTGAGTAATTAAAGTCATCATACAAGAGATGCCTCACCTATATTTATCCCTGCAGTACTCAGAATAGCCAAATTATGGTATCATCCTATGTCCATCAACAAATGAAAGGAATTGCAGTATTTATATACAAAATGATGTTTTATTCAGCCAGAAAGAAAAATTAAGTCCATTGCAGGGAAGTGTAACACCATTTGATATAAGACTTGAGCAGGAGTGGGGTCTGGTATGTTGGGTGTATTTTTAGAGTGTCTTTATCCCTTGAGATTTTGTGGTTCTGTTTTGTGTAGTCTCTGAATGCTGTTATACCATTGATAACCAGAAGTGACTGTTCACTTCTTTGAACTCATGTTTGTTCTTTATGATAGATAACATACACACACACACACACACACACACACACACACACACACACACCATTAAATGTGTTATGGATTTACTATATATGGTTTTCATACAATTTTATTCTGGCACATCATTCTACATCTCTATCTTATCCATGTTGATGTCGTTTTTCATGTGAGTTGTAGCAGCAGGCTTGTTACTCATTTTCCTGTTTCATCTTGCCATGCCAACTCCACTGCATATTTGTTTGTTTACTTGTTTGTTTATGCACAGGCACCTGCCACATAGCCTAGGCTGGACTTGAACTCTCTTCTGCCTTAGCCTCTTGCATACTAGAATTATAGGCATATACCACCTTTCTAGGCTTATTTTATGGGAACTGTCTAAAGGAATATAATCTGCCTCCAGGTTCCTTCTTTATCACTTCTGTATTCTTTAAGACTGAAAACTTCTTGATAATAGCGTTGTCTCCGCTTGGTAAATAGTACTATCCCAGGCTGAATTAGGTGTATTTACCTAAAGCCAGATCTTCTGGAAATTTACTGTACACCCTTCTGAATGGAAAAGTACAGCAGTTCCCTTCTATCGACATGAGTATAGCATTTTCAGTAGTTCTTACAACCTATAAACTCTATGGTAAACCTAACCTTTTATTTTACATTTGCTGTACTTTTTAGCTAAAGAATAATACTGTATATTCTAGAAATCAGATTCAAAGTTATTACGTGTTTTTAGTTTTCATTAAGTCGGGTCATCCTTATATATTTAGTTACACCACCTTGAGTGTTTAACTTTTGTGGAAGTGTTTAAATACTGATTTTACTTTTATTACCTCCTAAACTTTTCTTATGAACTAGTCAACCTAGGTGGTTCTAAATTAACTATCTACCTTATTATTTTACATGAATTTAACAAAATTGATAGAATAAAAAGATTTTTATTTTGTCCATGTTATATATTCACAGCATCTCTTCCAAGCCAAATAAAACAGTAAGTTTGTGAATCCATGTTAACTACTGCATCTCCATGTCTCTCCTACAGCTTATCATTTAAGAACTCAGAATTATAGCTAACTAAAGATAAACCATTATGACATTACTATTTCTTTCCTTGAGCAGTTGTTAGTAAGGTCATAAGAAATTAGATGTTGAGTTCATGTTTACAGTGCCCAGAAGACAGTTAACAAGTTTTTTGGTGTCTTATGGTAGACTCGTTTCATACTCTTACTAGCAATAGGGACAACATGGGCCTCCATTTGCCAGGTCACCACTCCAGAGAGTATTCTTTCTAGATAAGTACAAGAGAAGTAGTGACTGTGGACATCTTTATCTCTAGAGATTTCATGTCCCATTTTGTGTAGTATTTGGATATTGTTGTAAAACCTGCATAGCAAATAGCACTTAAGTGCTTATTTCAACAATACATTTAGCTTATATCACAATTTATGATCAGTTTTAAGAAACCTTCTATCCGTCCATTGAAACCCATTGTTTGAAATGTATTATTTTAGAGATAACTGAATTCATTATTGATAGACTACTGGAATGTAAATGACCACTTTTTGAGAGTTGTAGTACTATCAATTGGGCATTTTTTTTTAATTTCTAGAGCCTTTTGTGAACCCCAAATATTCCTATCATTTAATCCTAGAAAATCCCCTGTCCATAAAAAGGTAGTATCCCCATTTTTCAGAGGGGTATTAATGCCTACACTGCTTAACTCACTGAGTTGCCCAAGGTCGCTCAGTGAGTCTTTGGTGAAACCAGAAATAGAATTCAAGTCTCCTGACTCCCAATTCAGTTCTCCTTCCTCAGTATAGTTTTCTGTCTTCTATACCCCTGTGCCTCTCATGGGAAAAGAAGTTAATCTTCTAGCTATTATTAGCCACCAAATTGGTGGTAGCAGCACAGTGAAGAAAAGTAACTGTCTTTACACTGCAGCATTAGTATAAAAATATCTGGTAATGGAAAATTTGACAAATGTCATGTTAAAGAGAGTGGAAAATTATTTTAAGATCTAGATCTCATTTATCTAGTTCTCAGAAAAGTAAAATTCCTTGGTAGACTAGAGATCATTTTTTCTTCCTGTTTTTAAATTGTATTTCCTAGAGGGTAATTGACAACCTACCCATAGCAGAGCCTGTTGTCAGCTGTCATCATAAGAATAATCCATGTACTATTGGTAATTGCTATACATGTATTTTTTAACTTTGCTGGAATCCTGAATCACCTTACTGAAATACGCACTGCGCTGCTTTTAGTATTAAGTGATATTAGCTAATCAATTCAGAGTTTTTATTTATAATTAAAAGTATTGATGGAATTTTTTCCTCATGAGCAGTGTATGCCAAGCTAAGGCACTTCATGTCAGGCCCTTTGAGGTTCATCAGAATCTGGTGGGCAGAATAGCAAGTGTAAGATAAGCATGTCAGAGGTGATGAAGCATACTGTTACATGTATTGTTAATTTGTTGTTTTGGACTTTAAGTATACAAATGTTTCTCACCCTCTTTTATTAAATGATGAAAGCATGTTGAGTACTTTGAGAATTCACACTTTGAAATTGTAACAGGACAGTTTGTTTCTTAATTTGGGATCCAGCACCAAAAATTGCCCTAGCATGTTTCTATTAAAGATTACTAAAAGTCTTTAATTAAAAGATGGTATAATCACAATTTTAAAGCTATAAGTATTTTTTGAATTATAGTTCTTAGAGGAGTTGACAAATACAAAGGAAAATGAAAAGGGTTTTAAAAGACTAGTTATTTGAGACACACTAACTGAAATGATAGTACCAGTAGTAAAGGGATAGTTAGAAAAAAGAGAAAATATGGATTAATATGGTCACATACTGCTCCTTAAAGAAGCATAGATAATTACTGAATGGAGGAAAAGGAGAGTAACGATATTGGAGAGATAATACATAATTTCAAAGAGCTGCAGAAAGTTGTAGGATAAGGCTGAAGAAAGATCATCAAAATCGGTGCCCTATTAACATTTGGAAGATCCACTTTGGTTGAGTGGCAAGATTTAAAATACTCTAGACTCTTCAATTCTATATTCGTTTATCTTTAATATTAAATCTAATGTTTGCAAATTGATTAGCTATGTATGCTAAATGATAAAATACAGTCAACTGAAATGCCTATCTACCTGGCCCCATAACAGATGCAATTCTTTAACTGGGTTTTTTTTTTTTTTGGTTATTGCCATTCTTGTTTACCTAGACAAGACTTGCGCTTAAGTAGTACTAATAAGCTGGTGATATTTTATAATAGTATAAGTATTAATCTCTATATATACAAATGTTAAATACTATATCTTAGTCCCAGGTCTACCATGAAAGCTGGAAATTCCTTGTGCATTGTTAGAACCGATTGGATATTTGGTTTTGTGATTACTTAGTATCTTAAGGTGGCTATACTTATAAATCTATTGATACTACTGTTTTAAAATCAAATTTATGTTATAGAGCCTCTGGACACTATTAGGATTATTGGATTGCCTTTTGAGACAATATTATTGAACTTTTTAATATTTTCGAATAGGCACATCCTCAAGTGAACCTAACTTGTTTAAAATGTCTCCACAAAAACGAACCCGGAGAAAATTAATGCCTTCACCCCTAAAAGTAAAACGTACTCAGAAGTCTACACTGTCAGAAAGTATTCAACTTGATGATTCTCTAAGCAAAGAACTTCAGCCTATTACGTATACTCCAGAGGACTGCAGAAAGCCTTTCCAAAATCTGTCTCCAGCCTTAAGACCTTCATCACATGCGGCAAGTTTTCAGGCCAACAACTCAAACATAAACAATGACAATTCTCTGAAAATGTTGTGTGAAGTAGATTCTCCTTTTAAAAGGAAAACAAACTCTAAACAAGAGGATTTGGACTGTACATTTACTGTATGTGAAGACATCCGGAGCCTACAGAGTAAACTACCTGAACAGGATTCAGTATCAGACAACAGAAACAGTTTACAAAGGTACAAAAAGGAGCACTTTATGGTTCATTTGGGTTTTGTTTTGTTTTTTCCCATAGTCCTTAAATTATTAACTTCCTTAACTCCCTTTTCTTTTATCTATTTCGGGGGTCGATTTCATGTCAAGTGTTACATCTTCATTAGAAAAGTGTCTCATTCATATTGAGTCTTCGTTGAGTATGAATCCCCTAGCAGTGTTTTAAAATCATAAATTTGATAACCTAAGTGAATTGACCTTCATTAAGCTGGAAAACACTAAGAAGTTTGTTCTTCATACACTGAAGTTACATAGCATAATCATCATTGAAGGATGGCCATGCCTTTAGCAGTGCTTCACTAAAAGAATGCCCATGGTTTACCATCTATTGTTTATCAGTGTCAGCCCACTCAGTTACATCTCTTTATGGTTGATTGTATGTCATCCAAGCAAACATTCAACTACATAACCACATCCAATCTAAATATGGCAAGAAAAATGCCTCAACTTTTCTTTGCTATTAGGAATGCAGAAATGTCTCCACAGCATCTCTGCCTGTGGTGCTCTAAAAAGAGAAAAACTCCTCATGGCAATTGAGGGAATTTCTTATAGGATAAAAAAGTAAGACTTCAAATGGTTTACTAATTACAGGAGTGCAAATTACTTTTCTCTGTGCAGTATAGATTAAAATGTTGTTTTATTTGTCTCTGTTTAATGTGCAGGCTTGACCCTTCATTCTCAGCTAAGGATTCTTTGCCTGTATCAAGTGTCCTGCCATCCTACATGGCATTGACTGCCGCTGCCAAGAGGAGGCGGAAGTTGACAAGGTATGATTAACTGCAAACTGCTTTGATCTTTGTGTAAGGCCATTGTGCTGGATAGCTTTAGTTGTCAACTTGACACACCTGGGTAGAGAAAGCCTTAATTAGTGAATTGCCTCCATTGGACTGGCCTGTGGCCATGTCTGTGGGGCATCGTCTTCATTATTGAGTGATGTGGGAGGGCCCAGCCCACTGTAGGTGATGCCACCCATGTGCAGGTAGGCCTTTGTTATATAAGAAGGCAAGTTGAGCAGGGGAGCAAGCCAGTAAGCAGCGTTCCTCCATGGCCTGTGCTCCAGCTCCTGCCTTCTGGTTCCTGCCATGAGTTCTTACCTTGGGCTTCCTCAGTGATGAACTGTGTGACCAGGAGATAAGCTGAATAAACCCTTTTTCTCCCCAAGTTGGTATTGGTCAGAGTGTTTCCTCATAGCAATGGAGAAACAAACTAGAACAACCATCTTTATGCTTTCATTTCCCATGCCTTTTTTTTTTATTATTGTTAGACTATCACTTCCTATTAAATCACATCTGTGCTAAGTCACTCTGAACGAAACACTGGATTTATGTTATTGACAAGAGACCTTGATGAAGCCCAAGAATTTCATTTGAAATTTACATAAAGTATTCCATCTTTTAGATTATTAAAAATAAATTGAAAAATCTAGCTTCCAAAATGTCACTTGATTTTAACGTCTTCTGGTGGCAGTTTTTTACTCATTTAGCTATTTGTCCTTTTAAACATTACTGAGTTTCTTTGCCCCTAGACTTCTTATTGTCTTAATAGATTTTGATGCATAAATAAACTGTAATGAAATGAGGCGTCTGCTGTTTCTTGCTGTGACACTATAACTTCGATCAGAACAAGCCACCCAGCAAGAGCAGTTACAGTTGTCTTCGAATGTAAAAGCTGGATATAATACAGCCAGCAGCTTATTGGAGGCTCTCAAGAAGGACCAAGGCAGCCAGGACTTGGAGTATAAGACCCAGGAAAGCACAAGCATGACATAGAAGTCTGACTTGACTTTGCCTCTTTTTTTTTCCATTTAGAGCTTAACAGTTCCTGGGATAAGGCCAGAGGCCAAACAAAAAATAGAAGCAGAAGTGATTAGCACTTCTCACTGGGCTAGGGACCCGAGTCAAAGGTTTGCCAACTTCTCAGCTCAGTTGAGTAAGAAAACAAGCTGAAAGTGGCTTCCAGGAGGGTACAGTATTAAACAGAGTTTGAGATTCTGGTGGAACTGGAGCACAGGCTTGAAGTTCAAAAGCCATGAGGGCCAGGTGAGGAACATTCCTTTAATCTCAGCATATCGAGAGGCAGAGGCATGTGGACTTCTTTGAGTTTGAGGCCAGCTTTATGTCTGCATAGCGAGCGAGTTCTAGGCCAGTCAGGACTCCTCAGTAATACCCTGTCCCTACCCTCCCAAAAAATGGGGAACAAAAGTCATATGGAAGAAGGCCTATTAAATACCCCAGAATTTTATTTGAAATCTTTAAAGTGTTATGCCCCAGCAGTAGGATAAACTAGAAATAAACTGGCTTATAAAAGCCTGAAACAGATCTTAGACCAACTCAGTCTTTTCCTGGATTCAGGTGATATTTACCTTCTTCCAAAAGGAAATTTGATATCTCTGGAAATAACTTTAATGATGAGTCACAGAGTAGATAAGATAAAAAATTTGCCAAAGAACTGTATTTTGTTAAAAATTAATCAAATAGATATACTAGAACTAAAAAGATAGACTACTGAAATTTAAAATGTAATAAATCAATTTAACAGATTTGTCCAGGGAAAGAGTATTAGTAAGCTGGAAGGTAGAGGGTGGGGAAAAGTCTAAAGTAGAGGAAGGGGCAGAAAGTCAGCAGAGATAAGAGTGGGGACTTGAGCATGGAACTGTGTTTGTGTAGAAATGGGTATTTTCACTCAGAAGGGAATAAGGAAATAGGAAAAAACAGTATTTTAAGATGAGGGCAAATAATTTTTTAAAACTTACAAAACAGATTAAATTACAGACTTAAGAAGTACTGCAAACCACAAACAGAACTAATACAGTGTCCTGAGTTATGTGACATGCAGTGCGTACAGTCACAAGTATACTGAGTAAATAGAAAATGATCTGACTTTTTCTACCCTTTTTTTCTTTGCTATATTAATAAAGTATAGCAGTTAAAGCTAACTAAATTTCCTGTTTTCTGCCATGGACACAAATTTACAAATTGCATAGTTAACACTTCATAGAGTGTCTTCCCATAAGTAAGTTTAGAATTGTTTCTTGCTCCTCCAAAACACAATATAGCAGAGCCTTGAAACATGTAGATAGATTCTGTGCTCATGGATTGGTTTTTCCTGAAAGTCTCTTGCTATCTTTGACGTTTATACATGTATATATAGTTGTACCTCTGACCCATGGTTTTGCACTCTGATTTCAGTTACCTGTAGTCAACCAAAGTTTGAAAATCATAATTGGAAATTTCCAAAAATTAACAGTGTAAAATTTTGTTGCATACCATTCTGAGAGGTCTGATGATCTTTGTGTTGTCTCTTACCATCGTACATCAATCATCCCTTTATCCAGTATGCCTATGCCAACTCACTACCTGCTGTGATCCACTTAGTAGCCATGTTTGTTAAAGGAACAACTGTTACAGAATGGGCAGTGCTTGGTGTTTAAACAACACTTATTTTACTTAATACATTCCCAAGCCCAAAAGAGCAATGATGCTGGCACGTTAGATATACCAAACAAGCAATAATCTGCTTCCTTTAAACAAAACGTGAAAGCTTAGAAAAAAATGTAGCGTGCATTAGGTTTAGTACTCTCTCAGATTTCAGGGACCCACTGATGGTCTTCAAATGATGCTAAGTGGGCCAGGGTAAGTATTCTAGGTCTTTACTGGTATCATGTGTTTACTAAAATTAGTTATGTTTATTAAAATGTGGCAAATGTTTATACTAAGAATGATTTTAAAATGTAAACGTGGTCATTATCAAACATTCAGTTTTTCAGAAACACCTAAGTATGTAAACTGTATTTGTGGTTCTAGTTGAGTTAAAGGACTACCACATGAGAAACTGATACTGGAAAATAACTTTAAAGAGCACAAAAAGGAAGCGACTTGACTATTCATGGACTATTAGTTACGACTCTGTTACATTCCCTCTGGTATTAATAATTAGATCCTGCCATTAACTGAGGTTAAAGGAGATTAATGCTAGAAATGTACATAATTACTTTTTTTAATCTTCCTTTTCCCCAATTAAAGCTACATGAGCTTGAAAGTAATAAACTCTGGTATTTTCCACTTAGCAGCTTTTATATACATATCTAGGGGTGTGTATCTTCTAAAGTGATTTTAAAGTGTAAAGACAGGAAGTTTCCATCTGTGTTCTATCTTTCATAACTTTTTATTTCCTCTAAAATAAATTAAAACCTCTGAATACTAAAGTGAATTTTATCTAATGGAATTGGGAATATTGGATTTTATCTTAACGGTATTTTTAATTTTTGATCTAGCCTTACAGGAGCATACCGTTTTGACACAGTAACAAGAACTTATATTTTTATCCTTTTGACTTACTCCACACTGTGAATAGCAAACAGCACTCGTGTCTCCAGCAGAACATGCTGGAAATATTCTGTAGAACAATGGCCGTGTGCCCCCACATCATTTTATCTAACTTACAAGTGGATTTGGGGGTGGGGGCAACAGTGTTCTTAATGCCTTCACTTCTGTGGGTTTCACAACTATTATCTCTGTATTTCATTTCTTTTATCCTTACAATATAGGACACAAATCAAAGTTTTTCTTTAATTCTTTAACTAAAATGAAAACTTTTCCCCACAAGTTCTACATCAAATACTCCGTTAATTGCTGAAGAAAATCATGGATTTGCCAAACGCATTCGACAGGATAATTCAAATGATAAGTTTTTACAAGAAAGCAGACCAACAGTGGGTATGTATGCACTCTTAATCTGATATTTACATACCAGTCACTACTCATCAAAGATGGAGACTTACAGAATTCTACAACTGGTCAACACACAGAGAATTATGTGCCTGTGAGATATCCAGCCCTAAGTGACAGATCTACAACAGAATCTCTATACATAAGGCTCATGGAACATGGTGGAATAGTGGGTAGAGAGAATGCAAATGCATCTCTGAACTCTCAGCAGTAAAGTTTCTTCGTATAACAGAGGGCAATGAACACAGATGGCCACAACTGGCCAAAATGTAGAGAATAAGAGACCGCAGTGTGTGTGTCATTGGCTAGAACTCATACTAAACCTCACCCACCCAGAGCTCAAGACCATTGTGGAAGAGGGAGGTGGAAAGATGATAAACGCCAGGGGTGTTGCATGACCATAAGGAAACAGAGTCCTCCAGGCCCCTGGGCACTTGCTCATGTGAACTTACAGCAGTGGTGACAACATGTACAACATCCATACAAACTCAGTCTAGACAAAAACTCAGCATAGACCAGGAGAAATGTGCAAGAAGCCCCAGCCTAAGCCAAGGAACTATTAGCAGTTGATTACTGCTGGGTAGGAGAGACTTGATCTTTAAGGGAATGACACAAGATAGGCTGAACAGGTTCCAGTGGATGAACTCACATTGAGGGACATCTGGGTACAAAAACTTGATGTGATAGGCCTTAACATACATGACAGAATGCACAAAATCCTTTGGGTGGGCTATATATAGGAGGGTGCAGATAAGGGGGTCTATTGTATGAAATGCACAAAAATTCAGTAAATATACACTGAAAAAAAAATTCTCTTTTCAAGAAGATGGAAAAAAAGTGAAGTATTCTCTTCACTGACTGCTCTTGGTATCTTTGCACACATGCTTACTAAAACATCAGTTACAGCATGGAGAGACGAAATTAACAACTTTTAAACCAAAGATATTGTTTCCTTGTTGTTGTATTTCAAATCGTGTTAATTAACTATGAATTCCAATAGTAAACTTTTGTCAGCAAATTGTTATAAATCAATGAACAAGAAAGCTCTTTGAATGATAATTTATTTGCTTATGTGCATCTTTATTTCTTCAGGCTATAAAAGAAACATCTACAAAATAAATTCAAGGACAGTTAGAAAATTTGCAAGAAATGTTTCAAAAGAAAATTTGCGATGAGTCACTTAGAAATGAAGGAGAAAAAATGAAATTGATGCTCTGCTTTTCGAAGTGTTGCTGTCCTTTGCAAGTGTTTGCCAGGGTCCTCTCAGAAGTGCTTGAAGTCTGAAAGAAAGCCACCTGAAACTGTTTACTCAGACATGTTCAGCAAATTAATAATGAAACTTTTGTATTTTAAATAAAATTTCAGCAGAGGTTATGTTTCATGTTTCTAAAATATTTGCTACTTTTGAAAATCCCTAAGTCAGCATAGAATCAGTTTAATTTTACTACATATACACCACAACTTGAGTAGGACATTTTTTTAAAATAATGGATTAAATTTCTCTTATAATTTTCAAAAATAAGAAAACTTTAGAAAGTCATAAAATTATGGCCCAAGATGAATTTGGAATTCTAGTGTATGTTAATACATTGTTTTACTTGTGCATGTGATTTTCTTTTCTAAAACCTCAGTGTGAAAATGTAGATGTATGTGTCCATGAAGTTGTAAATATTGTTTAAATGCCTGTCATGAATAAAATTCTAGTATTTTTTTCCTGATTACTTGATGTATTAAAGATGCAAATTTTAAAGACTGATTTTCCTGTCGTGATTGCTCTGTATGTACTCTGTAATTTTATATAATCATGAATGTCATAAATTGGTATTTCATATTAGATCAAGATGCATATACCAGGACCAAATTTGAAAATAATCCATAGGTTTCTTGCTAATAATGAGTAGTGGGGAAACATTTTAATCATTCGTGTCACTGTAGGGATTACACAGAACTGCAACTTAATTACCTAAACTTGTTCGTTTATCTTATTTAGCCTGTGTTTGTGCTGAAAACAAATATTTAGCTTAATGCACTTTTAAGTTTGTGTCTCCAAGGGATCTTCACACCAAACCAAACAGTTGTTATATTTAAAATCTAATTGAGAATAGGAAGAAGTGTTTCTGTGATCTTTCTCTCACTGCTCAGTATTGGTATATAGAAAGGCTACTGGTTTTTGTTAATTGATTTTGTATCCTGCCACTTTGCTGAAAGTGTTAAAAACTTCTAGTTTTCGGGTGGAATTTTTGAGATCTCATCTCCCGCCTGCAAAGAGGAATAAGTGGCTTTTCCAGCTCATACCCCTTTAATTTCCTTCTCTTCTCTTACTGCTATAGTCGAGTTTCAAGTACTGTATTACAAAGGAGTGAGAATAGCAGACAGCCCTGTCTAGTTCCTGATTTTAATGGGACTGCTTCCAGTTTTTCTCCATTTAGAATGATGTTGACTGTAGTTTGTTGTATGTAGCCTTAATTATATTGAGGTATGTACCCTTCAGTCCAATTCCCTCTAGGATTTTTATCATGAAAGTATGTTGGATTTTGTCAAAGGCCTTTTCTGCATGTACTGAGATACATCATGTGATTATTGTCTTTAGGTCCATTTATATGATTTATTATATTTAGTGACTTACATATATTGAAGTATTCCTACATCTCTGGAATAAAACCAACTTGATCATGGTGGTTAATCTTTTTGATATGTTGTCTGTATGTGGTTTGAAGATTTATTAAGAGTTTTTGCATCTATATTCATTAGGGGTATTCACCTGTAATTTTTTTATTGTGGTGGTTTTTACCTGGTCTTGGTATTAGAGTAATGCTGGCTTCATATAATGAGTTTTCCCTCTGTTTCTCTTTTTGAATAATTTATGTAGCATTGGTTGTAGTTCTTTGAAGTACTGATAAAATTCTGTTGTGGATCCATCTAAACAGAGAGAGAGAGAGAGAGAGAGAGAGAGAGAGAGAGAGAGAGAGAGAGAGGAGGAAGGGAGGGAGTACAGGTGTATAGCTCCATCTAAACCTGGCCTCACTCATATATACGTGAGTGTATAGATTATCACTGTGTAACAAAAATCATTGTGCCAGGCAAGGGAACCTCCCTTTGAGTTGGTGGTCAGAATAGTCGAAAAGACTCCCAAAATAATACAGGCTACAGCCCTTGATTGCCTCCTAGAATTTGAAGGTAAGAGTTTATTGCTGAAGACAGAACATACTTCAGACATAGAACTTAAAGCAGTTGAGCTGGAACTGACCAGGAAGTCTGCCTGCCAAAAACTAGCTCTTACAGTATCAGAAGATACGCATCCTGTTAAGAGAGAAAAACCAATCAAGGATCCTACCCAGCTGTAAAGTCTATGAACCACAAAAATGACCAGCCCAGCAAACTATTAGTGTGGTAGTGGCACTTTTATGTTGGGGGTAATCAACAGCTGTCTAATTGCTCAGTGGGAGGAAAGTTATGCATGGTACTGTAAACAGCCAAGTATACATGGTTGGAGAGATAATAGACCCTAAAGAACATACTTCTGTCACTTCTCTAGACAAGTTTCTTACTGTATTCTAAATACCTATCCTTATATTTACAGACAACTGTCTCATTAAAGAAGCTTTTTGCAGCAGATGGACACTCACAATGTCCCACAACTACTCAAATGCAGAAAACAAGTGACTGAAATACTGAAACTCAGATAATGCAACCTTGGCACCCAAGACTCAGGAACATCTAATCAACAAAGAATGTTAAGAACCAGAGGGACAAAATACCTGTTGCTAGTTACTGTATTCTGGATATGATAGGGAAACTACACCAATGAAGTCTCCACAGGATGATAGTCTAATGAGATCATATTGACTAAACCAGTTGACATGCCAAGGTGAACAGGGGGAGTGTCATGGGTTCACACCTCAAGATGAAGAGCTACAGACAATGGATGCTGAGGGAGTGAGGAAGAATAATTTTTCTCCAGCAACTAGCACCCTGAGAGGTTATCTAATCCCAAATGGACAGCCCCAGATACAGGTACACAGGAGCACCACTTAATAAACTCGGTGCATTTATGTCTGTATTTTCTGAATTTATATGTAGCAATAAAAATTTAGACAAAGCCTTTGGAGGGGGATTGAGAGGGATGGAAATAATAGACAATATTCCATATATGAAATTCTAAAAGAAATAAGTAAATAAAATCCAATTGAGAAAGAATACCCAGTTCTTTCCAACTCAAGCTGTTCATCAGGGAGCCCAAGGTAGGAATTCGGGGCAGGAACCTGGAGGCAGGAGTTGAAGCACAGGCCGTGAAGAACCCTGCTTACTGGCTCGCTCCCTGATGAACTGTGACCTGGGAGATGTGAACTGAATAAACCCTTTCCTCCCCGAGTTGGTATTGGTCAGAGTGTTTTGTCAATGTCAATTGAAGGCAAACTAGAACAGAAATTGGTACCAGGATTGATCATGGGGTATTTCTGTGATAGACCTGACCTTGATATTTTGCGGAGGGTTGTGGAAACATTTGGAACTTTGGGCTGGAAAAGCCATTGAATGCTTAGTTTGTTGCTGTGGGACTTGGAATAGTTATGCTGAAAGAGTTGTGGACGATAGAGGCCTTGCTTGTGAAGCTTCAAAAGGAAGCAGAGACTATCAGGGCTGTTTGTGCAATATTTTGAATTGAGAATCTGTAGTTTCTGGTCAGCTGGGGCTGAAGAATAGGCTCTCGTTATGAAGAGACCAGAGCCACTGAAGTGAATCCTTTGCTTTACTGGGACAATTTGATGCTAGTTAGCTGGGGCTAAAAAATCAGCTGTAACAAGAGCCCAGCATCACTGTGGCATAATCTGGGAAGTATTTCCTCAGGGTCAGCGCAGAAGCTATGGGCCAGAGGGGGACCCAAGCCTCCATCTCAAGCTGGAAGCAGGACTTGGTAATGTGTAAGAGTCTCCTGTATGGTTCTGGAGTTAAAAAGCGTGAAGGGGTCACAAGTAGCTGAGGCTTTGCACCCCAGAGGCCAGAAGAGGCCATTGGTAAAGGTGCAACCTCATTTTCAGTGGAGACCCCAGCTTTTTGGGGATAACAGGACCATGGGATGACCACCAAGGGCAGCAGCAGGTATGGAATGGAGCCAGCCTGGGTCTGGGAGATGGGTTGTGTGTGCTGTGGATGGCAGAGTCAGAGAAGTGGAGCTGCCAGAACCTTTTGGAGCCCAGAAGATCGTGAGTGAATCGCAGATGTCCAGCCTTGAGCTACTTTGCTGGACTTGGGTTTTCCTTAGGTGTGCCCAGTTCTTCCCTTTTGACAGTACTTGTTTTGGATTTTACAGGAGCCCACAGTTAAAAGACTTTTAAAAGAGACTATGAACTTTTAAGTGTTTGGATTTCTTAAGGACTGTGGCACTTTTAAGGTTGTACTGTCTTATGTTGTGATATTAATATTAACATATCTTGGGGACAAGAAATGGAAAGGTTGTGGTTTAATAGTGATGTGTTTGTGTATCAAGTTGACAAGGGGTCAGTTGTACTGGTTAACTTGACACACCTCAGTAGATGGAGGCTGAATTGGTGAGTTGCTTCCATTGGCCTGGCCTGTGGCCATGTCTATGAGGCATCTTCTTGATTACTGAGTGATGTGAGAAGCCCAACCCATTGTGGGCCTATATTGTTTAAGAAAGGTTGATCAAGGGCGAGGGGAGCAGGCCAGTAAGCAGGGTTCCTCCATGGTCTGTGCTCCAGTTCCAGCCTTCGGGTTCCTGTCCTGAGTCCCTACCTTGGGCTCCCTGATGAACTGTGACCTGGAAGTTGTAAGCCAAATAAACCTTTCCTCCCCAAGTTGGTATTGGTCAGAGTTGGTTGTTACAGCAGTGGAGAAACAAACTAGAACAGAAGATGAAAGATGTTTGATATGCAGGTTAATGACATAATGGAAAATCTATGATCGGTACTTTAGACAAAAATATTGTGTCCACTGCCTCATTCGTCATCCCTTCTGAATTTTTTTTTTTTAATCTCTGCAGGGCACTTTTCTTTGGGAGGAGGCAGAGGAGGAAGCAAGGCAAGGTCTTACACCGTAGGCCAGACTAGCCTCCAATCTGCAGCAATCCTGTCTGCCTCCTGAGTGCTGCCATTGCAGCTAGCCTTACAAGGCACTTTTCATCATATGGCTCTTTCAAAATCATAGCCTGTTTTTATAAAAATAGTAACCCTTCTCAATAACAATTCTGAGTGTAGGTTCAACTCCCACCCACCCCGCACACTCCACACTTTGTGTTTTGCTCAGTGATGTGTGTGTGTGTGTGTGTGTGTGTGTGTGTGTGCATGCGTGTGTGTGTATTCATGCCTGCACACACGTGCTGGAGATCAAATCCAAGACCTTGCGCATGCCTGCTTGCTTCTGCCGCTGGTGTGTAGCCACACCATCCAGCTAATTCTTAACTACACATGCTATCTGAAGATGTGCTTTTGTTCCCAGTGTGCTCCTACTCTGAATTCCATCAGGTTAAAAAAACATTAATCTACTCAAAGTAAAGCTGAAAGGTCACAACCTGTATCCTGCATGTCCTCATTCAGTTTGGGGACAAGTGAATTTTTTGAGTCTCCAGTTAGTACCTACTGATGGAAGAGAATCTTACACAAAGGCTATCTCTGGAAACCAATAACCACTTTACTGTCAGGTGCTAAAATGTTACTTCAAGTGACCTCAGCTCAAACTTTTTTTCAGTTTAAATATGGGAAAGGGGTTTATTTGTTTTCCTTTTTAATGTTTTGAGACAGT